CACGGAGACATACTCGATCTAATAAAATTCTTATTGGACAAGTTTTCACTCTGCTTCTTAAATTCAAATAATTCCAGAGGTGACATTCGGTATGAAGCTAAAGACATAGGCCTTACTCCCGTCAACTATTCAATTGAAAATTCAATTTCCCTCTCTGGCGAAAAATCCGAAATTTCATCTAGAAAGACATCCATAAAATCAAAGACAATAGGGATATCAGAAATTGGCTCCTTATTGACGCCAACCAGACTTCCCAACGGAATAAACTCTGAATCTCCTTCCTTCAAGGCATTTGCAACCCGAAAGACAGACATATCCGGAGACTCTCTCCCTTCATCGTTAGAGGAAATAGAAATGGTCTTGCTGCAACAAACATTCCTTACATAGTACTTAGACAACCAATACATTCCCAAAATCACATTCACAGAGGCAAAATGCAAGACAATAAAGTCAGCAAAATACTCCCTGTCATCATACTTAAATATCACATCCTTCCATATGAATGATTACACACTAACATTCCCAACAGTCGTAATAATATGCATAGGGAATCTTATCCTTATCATAGTCAAATTGAATGCTTCATTATTAATTCAAACTCTTGTTGTCTAGTTGCAGCCCAAGTCTTCAGTAGTGCAGCCAAAATTGCTACAACAGGATCCGGTGATGGATCATCATTATTAAATGTCCTACGAGTCCTCCTTGGAGCAACCATATCTTTGCATATATTACACTAAGGAATGAGTTAGCTACGCTCACACTTAGTGATCACACATGCATTATACAGCACTCCAAGAAAACACTCAAGAACTTCCAACTTCAAACATCCTATGCTATATATCATGGAAACTCCCTAGAGCAACTGCTCTGATACCATAAATGTAGCATCCCCAGCCTCGAGCCGGTTCAATTAACATACATATGATACTTAACAGAAACAGGGGAAGACTTAAACTTATGAAAATACGAGCTAACTTTTCTTTTTCTCATTAGGCGTAAACGAAAATCAGACAGAGTAACCTCTGTAAGTCGGACAACTGGGGATTTTCCAATCCCACTCTCAAGAGTTCCTGATAAACAGTTTAAACTATATATATATATCCAGAAGTACCAGTCATGCAAATATACTCAGATACCCATCTACGGGCGCATGCAGAACTTGGCTCCGTGCCACTAATCTAATAGCATGCAATCCAATACATAACATAACTGAATACTACATAGTCATATCAATATGCCTGAATACATAAATGTACATGCATCGAATATGAACACTATACAACACTACATCTTTTCCAAAAATACGTCTAAAATAAATAGTAGCCTCCAGCCACCCAGAACTCCACATCCTCATACTAGTACCTCTAGCCACGGTTTGTGTCCTTGTCCCATGAGGCTCTTCAATTAACTGTGTTCCTGAAATCATATCCTCAAACGGGGTTAGAGATGAATCTCTAGTAAACTCCAGGTTTATGGAAAACTCTCCATAAAATAAGTTGTCTCCTTTTTCCATGCTTCAGGAGGTAAGATCTTGGGGTCCATCATAGATCTTTGAGCACCATTATCCATATAGGCAATCACCTTTTTGGGATGACTAAATTTGGAAGACAAAATATGAACTTCTACACCGGGCTTAGGTTTTTCTGGACTTATATAGAACACTTCATTTATGGCAAAAACTGGAACATCACTATCAGAATTTCCTGAATCAGAAGAAGAATCTTGTAGTGCAAAGACAGTATCTTCATCTCCAGTACTTTGTTCAGAGTACAAGGATTCTGCATCTCCTTCATCAAGATTTAAAGCAGTTATCATCTTTACTGCTTTATCTGACTTGTTAGGACAGTTCTTTATATAGTGACCCTTCTTTTTGCAAATGAAACATTTCTGGTCTTTGTTCTTCCCACGAAACTTCTTCTTCTTAAAGAACCTGTATTGTTTCTGGAACTTTTTGTCTTTCTGCTTCTGGTTGTACTTCTTGAAATGAGTCTTTTTCTTTGGCTTGCAATCACAATTTTTATCTTTGCATTTTATCTCCAGATAAGACTTCTTACAAGCTTGGGTATATTTTTACCTTTGATTCATCAGATCAGTCATGTACTTGTGCTGCTTGCAGAGTTTGTCAACCGCTTCAAGAGTCAGTTGGTGAATCTGACCCATAATAAGGGCTGTAAAATCTTTGCCTTGAGCAATCACCATCCTGTTTAACTTTGGTTGAATCTCCTTAGGAAGAGAAGTCACATAAGTGTTTTTGAGGCTTGGATCATTATATCATTTCAACAAATAGAATCTCTGCATCATTCTTTTAAAATGCTTTTCTAGATCTTTTATCTTCATAGAGCAGCACTTCATCTCAAAAAAAAAAAATAACTTTAATGAGTTTCGAAGTCCATATTTCTTGTCCAATTCACTATTTAACATGTTCATTTGTATTTGAGGAAAAAATGCACCCTTTAAACCAAGCATATTTTTTCTGCTGAAAACAGTAGCAAATTTTAACACATCTACTTGTTTTGAATAGAATTCTAAAGCTTTTGTTTAAGGGGAAAAAAATTAATTTATTGTATTTTTAAAATATATAAGTTATGTGCTTTTAGTTTTTTATTTTATGTACTCTTGATAATGTATAATTATAATATAAAAATTATTTTTTTTTTTTACTTTTTACGTCAACTGATGTGATTAAGAAAAGAGAAAAAAGTAATTTTTTACATTATAACTATGTATGATTAGAAATACTTAGAATAAAAAAATTAAAAAAACACAACTTACTTCTTTTAAAATACAAATAGTTTTCCCTGTTTAAAGCCTCTGTTTACAAAATCAAAGGAGGATGCAAAAAGCAAAGTCACAGTCAATGATTGATTTGTTTATGATATATTATATGAAAAATTAAGATACACGTAAAAAAACAATCTAAGATGTTTATGGTACGGATTCGGTATTCATACATTTAATTTGTGATGTATTATGAGTTTTGATCAATATTAATTATAAATAACTAGCCTTCAAAAGAAAAATATGTAAAATATTAATTTTATGTTTAAACAACTTTCTATATTATGAAAATGGCTTTATTTGAAGCACAAAATTTATAATAAAAAGTGTATTTATTAGTTTTTTCTAAAAAAAAATCATCAGAAAATACTAAAATATTAAAAAATAAAAAATTCGTTTGATTAAAAGGGTCCAAAGTAAAGAAAATGATTTAAGACTCTTTCGTTTTCAGCCGACAGATATGACACTGCAATATAAAACAGCACTAACCACTAAGTCAAGAAGAAATTATTTGTAAATGAGCAGTAAGAGAACAAGTATATCATAGCCTCATGAAAAAAAATTAAATCAATGAACAAATTTGTTTTATTCATCACATCAATAATCACTTATAAAAAATTTAAGCAATGTTTATTGGTACGGGTGCTTCTTGGACATGCCCTTGAACAAAGCAATAATGACCAATACAATGTTCATACTCATTTGGCGAACTTTCTTCCTCTGAAAAAGTCCAAAGTTTTGAACAAAGCAATAATGACCAATACAATGTTGAATAGCTACTGAGATCCCACAATTGTTTTTCTATTTAGACTATAGATTTTTTTAAAAACATAATTTTATGTAATTTTAACTGAAATTAATATGTTTTATTATATACATTTGTTCCTTTTACATAAAAATAGATTACTGCGTGAGAGAAAAAATATAAAAATAATAAATATACATCAAATTCTAATTTGAATTAAAATCACACAAAGTTATGTCTTTAAAATAATAAACATTTTTCTTTTTTTATATAACAGAATCTATATATACATTAATTACTCGTTTGGATGAGTTTTTTCTTAGCCAAAGTTTTTTTTATCCGAAAAAAGCAATTCTACACAAAGTTCATTTGGATTAATGTTATTAAAATCGGCTCGGTCATTGACCCAGTCGACTGGGTCACTAGATGAACTGCATGACCTGGTAATTATATGTAATTCTATAATTTATATCAAAAAATTATAAACATACTCAAATATCTAAAAAATTGATAAAAATTTCAAATATTTTAATATAAAAATAATAAATCACACATTATTATCCAATAAAGGATCAAACAAAAATATAATGATTGTGATACGGAGCTTCAGATTTAGTGAACAACATCTCTAACTATAAATCTAATCAAAAATTTCTCCATATGCATAATTTAGATAATATTAATGTTGTATGTACATTACGGTTTTATTTTTGAAAAAAAATTGGAATTTTATTTTTGATCAGGCCGGGTCACCGGTTTTCACGAAAATCTACTGGGTCGCACCGGTTCTGATGCATAGCCAGTCCGTTGCTTCAACCGAATCGGTATGACTAGTTTACCATTTCCCGGTTCGATTTTATTAACATTGATTTGAATATCTACTTTAAAAAAAAAAAAATAGAAGTTAAAAAAAAAAATCAAAAATCTACTTTTTTTTTGAAATCAAAAATTTTGTCTTCTAAAAAAAGTAAAAATCAAAAGTCAATTTTTTTTTTTAAAACCAAATTTCTTTTAAAAAAATTCTAAATAATTTCAATTTTTGTAAGAAACACTTCTAAAATAAGTAAGACATAAAAAGCATTTTTTTCATAAATTCATCCAAATGAGCCCTAAGTGTAACGCTAAAAGCTTAAATTAATTATTGGTCTCTTTATACCAAAAAAAAATATTTATTGGTCTCTATAATATTTGTAAGGGTTTTATACTTCTCATGTAGCGTGAGAAGAGAAATTTTCCTACAAATCCTTTTATTTTTGTACTGATATAAGTTTCACATATGACTTTTTTTAATATATGGTTGGAGATAACTTCGTCTGTACGATATTAGAAGACTCGTCGTATACATATGAGAAGTATAAAACTCAATTTGTAAATAACTAACGTGTAAAACCAGGAAAATAAAATGTGAAAAAGTCAAGGTTTTGAAGAAAATAATAATAAAATGAGCGATGCAGTGCTCATTTCTTAAAAGAGAGCAGCTCGCTCTGCAAGATGTATAAAAACTTGATATCTGTTTCATTTCCACCCCATAGAAGTGTCCTGAATTCTCTCTAATAAACAATGGCTGAAGTAGCAAAAAGGTACGTTATGGTTTTCTTCAACTTTCATCATCTGCATGTCCTTCTCTTTCCATGATAGCTTTTGAACAACTGCAAAATCTAAAGTGTTAAACCCACAACTTTCTTGAAATTATTGCTTTCTAGGTATGCAGTTGTCACAGGAGCAAACAAAGGGTTAGGATTTGAGATATGTAAACAGTTGGCTTCTAATGGAATCACAGTGGTTCTAACAGCAAGAGATGAGAAAAGGGGTCTTGAAGCTGTTGATAAACTCAAGCAACTTGGTCTGCCTGGCCATGTTGTTTTTCATCAGCTTGATGTCAATGATCCTGCAAGTATAGTATCATTTGAAGATTTCATACGGACCCAATATGGAAAACTTGATATCCTGGTTAGAAAATTCTCTTGGCTTTTTCTTTTTTGTGTTTCTATTCTTATTCATTCTTCTTCTCCTTCCCAAATATATCTATTTGGAATAATTGGCTAGAAATGTTTGGAATTTGTGTAGGTGAATAATGCAGCAATAATGGCAGGAAATTATGACCGTGCTGCTTTTGAAGCTTCAGTTGCTGCTGGAGTATGTTTTCTAGACCATTTGGATTTATTTTCTTCATTTTCTCACCCCCAAAGCAAAGGCACTTTGCACTTTATGAGCAATGATTTCAGTTAATTTTGATTAGAGGCCAAGAATACACATGATCCAGTTTGGGAATTGGGAACAAAATTTCTTTATTGTGCTCCCTGCAGCTTCCTAGTTTGAGTAGGCTTAACACCATATATTACTTTGTTTAAAAAAGGATAAAATTTTCGGCACAGGTGAAGACTGAAACATAATTTGAACCTTCAATGGTCAAGTGAAATTAGTTTCCTACCTATGCCATAAACCCAATTTTGTTACATTGGCTACTGATCTTCTCCCCTTCAGTAAAAGGGGGATTCAAGCATTGTCCCTTTTTTTTATGTGAAGCCTTAAAAGGGCTTCCCAAGTGAACAGAGAAACTGTTTATGCAACTGGAACCCGACCAAGTTGTTTTATCCATTTTAATTTCATACACTTCTTAGAGTAACTGTCCTTGAACAATCTCAGTTTATGTTGAATAAACATTTAAGTTTATTAGATGTTCTTTCTTTAGATAAGAGTTAACCTTTGGTGTTGAGCAGGACATATTTGTAAAGAGCATTGGTTTTGGTTGTATTGGAATATACTTGCACATATATATATTAAGTAAACAGAGGGTTAAGTTTCTTCTCATTGACTGCAGGAAAAAGGTAATTGGACTAGATTCATGACTCCAACCGATGAATCTGTAGCAGCAGCAATTAGAACAAACTACTATGGTGTCAAAGGCATGTGTGAAGCACTTATTCCCCTTCTAAAATCTTCAGACTCAGCAAGGATTGTTAATGTTTCTACCACCCTCGGTTGTTTGCAGGTTGGTGATCCTAGAATAACTTGTGTTTCTTTGTCTAGAATATCTATCAAGAAGCTAGTTTGTGTTGAGTTTGGAGCAGTATGTTTGATAATCTAAAGACCAGAGCACAAACCCTGGCGCATCCCAAATTTTATAGGGTAGGGATAAGGGGTGATTGTACACAATTTTATCCTTGCATACATTGTTTTGCAAAGAGGCTGTCCCAGACTCAAACTCATGACTCTCTGGTCATAAAGAAGTAACCAAACCGTTGCTCCAAGACTCGGTCTCAATTTATTTGTTACTATAAACAATTTTGAAAACAAAATGGGATTTTGGTCAGATATAGTTAGAGCCTTTCCTTGCATTTTGCAAGAGACTTATGACATTGACTGAATCAATGTGTTTAATACTATAAACAATTTATAAAAAAATATTATATAGTATGTAGCCTTTAAGTTACATTTGTAAGATACGTGGCAATATCACTAACCTTTGTGCCAATGCTCCCCTTCATACTAAAACAATTTATAGAAAAATAAATTCTCTATCTTGTTTTTTTTCTCCTATAAATTGGTCAGGTGGTGAACAGGTGAAGTAAGTCATTTCAACTAACCTAAAATTTGTATGGTTTCTTTAATCATTGTAATAAGTTAGTTATTAGGAGATTGGGCATAACATAACGTTTGTTACTCATGTTGATGCAGTTCATATCAAATGGTTGGGCTAAAGGAGTCCTAAGTGATGTTGAAAGCCTTACAGAGGAAAAAGTGGATGAGGTTTTGAATCAGTTCCTAGAAGATTTTAAAGAGGGTTTAGTAGAAACCAAAGGCTGGCCTACTTTTTTACCTGGATATTCAGTCACAAAAGCTGCTTTAAATGCCTACACAAGGATTCTTGCCAAGAAGTACCCAACTTTGTACATCAATGCTGTTACCCCTGGTTTTGTGAAAACAGATATAAACTACAATAATGGCCTTTTGAGTGTTGAGGAAGGTGCTCAAAGTGTTGTAAAGTTGGCTTTGCTACCTAATGGCGGTCCTTCTGGCCTCTTTTTCTCTCGAAGTGAAGTGGCACCATTTTGATCAAAAGTCATTAGTATTAGCAAAGTTATAAGAGCACTAGATAACATTCCCATATATCTACAGGCTTGATGTGTGTTTGTATTAGATTTTGTAAACATTATTTTGATTGAAAACTTTTATTTGTGTGGTGCTGAATCAATGTTATTTGAGTAGTATTAATAAAATCACTTGGGCATGAATTATCTCAATTGTAAAAAAATCTATACTATCTGCTTTCACTTGTTTAAATATTATTAAAATATTAATATAACATAAAATAATGAGGTTATTGATGTCAATATACAAACGGGTTATCGTGGCCCGTATTGGAATTTAGGTGGGCATTTGTTGTACGGAAATTGGGTGTAGTAACTGTTTTGCATATGCTTATGTTATTTTTTGTTTTTGAGTAAATATAAGATGTTTCTAGGCGTGGATGTGGTGGCCAGTAGCATGACTATATAGGATGAGACTTTAGTGGCAATAGCTGACCTCACCGGTAAATATTTATTATAGAGATTTAATTTGAGGATTTAGATGCCAAATATGTGTTTAGAATGTGATTTTGTATAGTCGGACACTTTTTATGAAAATCTCGTGAATAGTGATTTTTTACCGGGTATTTTGTACTGCTATTTAAACAACGGGTAGAGTTCAAAAATAAATAAACGATGTGATAAGTATACGAAGTCCAATATATGCCAAACAAGTCATGTTTAGACCAAAAATGATAGATTTAGAAGTTTTACGATTTTGCGTGCAAACAATGCACATTAGTGATTCACAGTTCATTTCAGTAAAAACGGTGTAAAAACCAAATTGTGAATTGCTAATATTGTTCCGCAGGGAATAAAAGTGAATGTAAATGAGCTCAGAAAGATGAAATTAGATTGTGATTTGATGAACTTTGGTCGTTCCCGGAATGGGAACGACGTTCGGTAAGTGTTCCCATGGAGGGAACGATGTTCAGTAAGTTGTTCCTAAAAGGGAACGACGTTCCCATGGTGGTAACGTCGTTCCTTGGTTGGGAACGCCACAAAGTTACTTTTGGGTGAAATGGGTGAATAGTCATTTAATGAGTTGTTGACTTTAGTTAAATAAGCGTAAGAGAATAAAACATGTACAGTAGGTCACTAAGAATATAAGACACCATCACCCATCTCCCTTATCATTTTCGTGGAAGTCATTGGAGGAATAGAGAAAAACTTGAGAAAATCATAACTTGAGCTACACTTGTCGGAATTTAGTCATTCCAATGCCAAACCTTCTTAGAATTTTGAGAGGAACACAGCCTAACCCTTATTTTCGCGTGGGAAGAATTTTAAAGAGAGATCGATACCCTCAAAGCAACGAAAATATTCTTGAATTTTTGGGATTTTGAGTGGTTTGGAGTTTATAGAAGCTTGAAGAACGTTCCTCTTTCCATTCTTAGGTGTTTAGTGGTAAGTATATCCAACTCTTTTCAAATTTTCATGAAGAAATGAGAATGCTAGGTTTTGGATGAATAGTAACAACATGAATAGTGACTTTTGATGGAAAAATAATGGTTGTTTGGTATTGTTTCATGTTATAGAGTTGTTCCTTGTGACATTATGGTGGAGGAACACCCATTGGAAGCAACATTTACTCAAGATAAAGATTCTTGAAATTTTACCAAAGAGGGTAAGTTGTGCTTTATAAGACTATGAGAAATTTTAGCCAATAACTTAACGTTCCCTCTGTTGTACACCTTTATACATTTGCTATAGGTTGATCTTATGTGAAAGTTGGTAATTGTGCTCATTTGGGCTAAAGAAAAAATATTGGAAGTGTATGTTTGATAAAGTGAGTGTTTGAATGACTCAAGAGTCAAGTCAAGAGTATATTAAGTTACGAATTATGTGAAAATGAAGAGAGGAACGTCTTGCCTTCCTTGTGTGTGGCTTTGGCCATATGAGGTCTAGGTAGGTTAGGATGTTCTAAAAATTGTGATGAGTATTTTAGAGGCATGGTTATGTCATTCTAATACCCTATGTAAGCATGAAACCATGTGGTTGCTTGCTGAATTAGCAATCACCCTAAAATGGTCTAATATGTGAGTTTAAGAATTTTGGTCTTGACTTGTGGGTTGGCATATAAATGCCATAAGCTTTGTAAGTACATATGAAAGAAATAAAGTGTGTGTCTTGTATAATTACATGATATTGTATCACTTATTGATTTTGTTTTGGAATCCTTCTCTAGGTGTGCCTAGGGATTTCGGATTTGTGGATCATTTTGGAGAAAGCTAAGTAGCTTGCGTGACAAGTAAGCATATTGTTAAAGCTTCAAGAGGTAAGCTCTATGTTTATGGAATTCGCTCCTACTTTGTGTTCCGCCATAGTGTACGGACTGTGGTCGGGTTATATGATATGTATGAGATATATTATATAGGTGCATTCATATAGAGCTATATGATAATATGATATGTTTTATTTTGATGTGTTTACTTTGATATGTTTTGATATGATATGTTATGTTGAGTTCCGCTTGGGGTCCACCCTTGGGAACACGTGCACTGATTTTCGCTTGGGGTCCTCCCTTGGGATTGACTGTGTACACCTCTATTATGTGATGATCTTTGGCCATTGATCCTATGTGCACAGCCACAGATATCTGTTTGGGGTCCTCCCTCGGGACTGACTGTGTACATCTCTGATATATTTTTTTTGGGGTCCTCCGTTGGGAACATGTGTGCTGATTTTCGCTTGGGGTCCTCCCTTTGGAATGAATGCGTACATCTCTGATAAAATATGTATATATGTTTGGTTCAGTCATGCTAATTGTTATATGATGCCTTGTATACCTCTGTTATATGTTGAGTTCCGCTTGGAGTCCACCTTTGAGAACACGTACATTGAATTCCGCTTGGGGTCCTCCCTTGGGAATGACTGCGTACATCTTTGATATGATATGTTTTGTTTTGATGTGATTATTGTGATGATTTTCGTAAATGAATTTATATGCATTGATTTTCGCTTGGGGTCCTCCCTTGGGATTGATTGTGTACACTTCTGTTACGATATTTGTTATGTGCGCCGAGTCCCGCTTGGGGTCATCCCTTGGGAATGACTGCGTACATATCTGATAAGATATGTGTATATGCTTTGTTCAGTTATGATATTTGCTTATATGATGCCTTGTATATTATGTATCTGACATTCATGCAGGAAGTGGGCCTAGGGAATGAAGAGTTCTCTATAAACCTGGAGCTTACTCAAGATTCGTCTCTAACCCCGTTTGGAGATATGATTTCAGGTATACAGTTAACTAGAGAGCCCTCACAGGGCAAGGATACGACCCGTGGCTTGAGGTGCCGTAGTAGATATGTGTATTTTGGATGATTCATTATCACTGTGTAGAGACCTGATCCGTGTGTAACATCATGCTGCCATTATTTTGAAGGACATGTATTTATTGTTTAGTAGTGTTCTATTCATTTTGGGATCATGAGGTTTGATCCATTATACTATATATAGTATGTATATTTATTGTACATGTTTTCAGATTTATTGCATGTACATTTGTGTATTCAGACATGTCATATAATGATGTAGTATTCAGATATGTGCATGTGTTGAGATATGTATGCTGTTAGACATAGTGGCACAGAGCCATTTATGCATGCGCCCATGGATGGGTATTAGGTTCGTTGTTGGACCGCATATAATTATATTATATGTTTAAGATGATATGTTTATTAGATATGGACTATACGGGTGGGATTTAATCCCCATTGTTTGGTTTACAGTCGTTACGCTGTCTGATTTTAGACTCCGTTTGGATTAACACTTGTTGTCATATTCAGATGGTCAGGGGCCATTACACATGGTCATGGATAAGAGATGAAAGTTTTAGAAAAGAAATTATGACTGATGCGAAAGAAAGGACGTAAGGCTATGTATCCTGTGAAAAGGATAAAAGAAAAAGAAAAAGTTAGCTCGCATTTTCATAAGTTAAGTCTTCCGCTGTTCATGTTTTGTATCATATGTGTGTTAACTGAATCGGCTCGAGACGGGGATGTTACAATTGGCATGCAAATTGTGTAACTAAAAATAAATTTGGATTACATGAAATTAGAATAGTAATTATTTACATCTAGTTGTTGAAAACATGATTTTTAGTATCTCAATAGGTTGTTGTTATTGCTTCAATATTCTTACAATGTTTGAATTTCTATATAATTCACACCATTCCGGATTCACAATTACCTATGAACAAATTGTGAAGCGAAAATTAATAGATTTTGTGAAAGATCAACTTGATCAAATTCATTATGTTGGTGCCTATACGTAGACTTCATTGTTAATTCGTCTGAAAAGAAACTACAGAAAGATAGTTTGTTACACATTCAAAATACAACAAACTAATACTGTAACACCTCATTCTAGACCGATTTGTTAATATTGCATATGATATTAAGCGGAGTTACAATCACAGTGATTGAATTATAATACAGATAAAAACTTTCCTTTCTTTTTATGCTTAACATTACTTTCGTACTCGCTTAATTCAAATACTTAATTGTAACACTTACTTCATGCTGAAGATATCCTATTGGCTTAACATCATCAACCATGTAGCCCTACAAGATAACATCGCATGAAACTCATTATTTTATTAACTTGGAACATATGATGTTCCCAGTACATGAGGCATTCCCAGTACTGATAACGCTGTTCCCCCTCTCTGGAAAGGTCGTTCCCTCTCTCTGGAAAGGTCGTTCCCTCTCTTTGGGAAGGTTGTTGCCCTTCTAGGAAAGGCGTTCCCCCTTCTAGGAAAGGCATTCCCCCTTTTGGGAAGTCATTCTCCCTCTCTTGGAAAGTGGTTCCCCTTCTTTGGGAAAGTGGCTAAATTCTTGACAGCCATAGTAATAAAGTTTTATGCAGCTTCGACTCTACACTAATTTGGGAACGTTCCGCTGCCCAAAAATTCTGAAATTTGGAGACAATAAACTAGACTCATAGGGCTTTAAAATGACATATAATAGGTCACATTTGGTTAAAAATTGAATAAGTTATGGACTTCCTAAGTTGACCATACTTGACAAAATTCAATTTGACAACACTTGGTTGTATTCTTAACTTAAGGGTTATCTTAACCCATTATGATACCTGATGTCACCAACATATTTCCATGATAGGCATCTAAAACATAATATTACATAATC